GGGGGGGGGAAGTACCAGCATGAATATCTAACGACTTTGTTATAGAGCCAGGTAAAAAGGATACAGGTATGCAGGCAGATACATTATACTTCTTCAAAAATGGTGGAATTTTCTAAATAAAACTTGGCTGAGCTTTACCAATTAAAATGCTATCCCAAAGGGAAAAAAAAAGATAATAAACTGAACAGAAACAATAAAACTGGAATGTGATTATCTTGAGAATTAACATTTATACATTTTCCATAATGCACTAGTTGGTAACATGCAGGACTGAAAATAATAACCTCTTTCAAAGAAACTACTCTCAGACATGCAAAATAAGACATTGGAAACGAATAACTTTAACTGTTTCTGTTCACTGAATTTCAACAGAGAGTAGAAATTCCAAAATTTGAAATCCAAGATTAAACTTTTGCCATTGGTACTGTTACCAGTCCTAGAAATCATACAGTATTCTTTGTGTTAGTTTGGTGGTCCAGATGCTGTTCATCATTCATACTCACAGAAAGAAACTGTATAACTGGATAATCTTAGGGCTCACTTCCTAGGAACACCTCTGTTAATAAAACCCAAGCAACATAAGTAAACATATTAAATGAGCTTACAAGAATTTGAATCTAGAGGTCGTGAATTTTTTTAAGTTCTGACTACTTGTAAACTTAGAAATGCTTACCAATATTTTTCCCAAATATGTTGGAACCACAGAGTAAGTTTATCTGATCTGGTTAAAGAAGAATTGCCTTTTCATTTTCCAAAGACAGACAAAGCTTATTCTTTACAATACATAAAATTATGATCATATTTGATTCTCCTATTATGTTAATCTTGTTCTCAGATTCCAGTACTACACAGCTAAATCAAAACAACATGAAATTTTAGACCATTTGTTTCTGATTTAGCTTTAAATGGCCAGACTACACATTTGGGAAGCTTCTTGTCTAATTTCCAAACATAAAAGTGAAGAACTGGGTAAAGTTTTTTGTTCATGTCCTATCTATATCCATGTATATAAATTTAAAAACTAAATAGTCCTACTGAGCAAAGGAAATTATCATCTTATCAGACTTGAACATTGTAAGAGCATTTCTAAAAATCAGACTACAGTTCAAGGGAAGAAGGGGTAGAAGGAAAAAGTGCAAATGGCAGACAGCTTTCTACAGAAACATTTTATAGGAGAGAAGATACCTGCAAGTATTTATACGTAAAATTTTCCCCACTCTTGGATTCAGATAAGTTCATGTTTTTCTGTGCCAGCTAGCAAACCAGATGTATCTCTCCCTCATTTACGATTCATTTGCCTACCTATTTTGAAAGCAGTCCTGAACTGTAAGAGTAATGGGAAAATATCTTTATAGGACAGAGTGGTAAGACAATCCAATTCAGCTGAACAGCATTAATTGGTTTGTGCTTTGAAGTAAATTTCTACTCCAGCACAAAAGGCTGCTTCCTTTATTAGAGTATTTTTTTAAACTCAATGTGATTCAAGGCATATGGCCAACAGGGTAAGAACTTAACAAAAGGGATATTTTGTCCTGTAAAACAAGGTAACTGCAAGTTTCAAGAAACATGAGTTTCAGTTTAGTTGGGACGATTCTTCCTTTGTGCTAAGTATTATTAACTAGCAATAAGGTGCCCCCTCTGGGGTACGAGGTGGGGTGGAGGGAGCAAGCGAGCATGTGAGAAATTAGTAGGGTAAAAGTTCTCATCTCATCGCTTCATAAACAAACTCCAGTATCCAAATCCACTACAGGTGGATTCATTTATTCTGTCTTGCTTGCCACAGAACACTTGCGTGAACTTGCAGCATGAAACTTCCAGTGCATTTCCAGTAACTTCCAGCACTAGCCTGTGCAGTAGTAGAGGGAGCTTTTCAAGGGAGTGTTTCAAGTAAACACTATACAGGAAAACAGACCATTACACCCTTTATAAGCAGATGCACTCTATGTTACAGAAGCACAGTGGTTCTTGAAGTTGGAAACAAATGCAGTATCTTGGTCAAAGATCTTCCCTAGAAGACCACAAGCACCGAAGCCCAGGCATGTAGGCAATGACAATACAATTCATTCTAGCCAGAACAGGACAGCACAGTTTTTCTGTATCTGTCAACTGAGCTTTACATCAGAAACAGAGCTTGGCAGCTACTTAACTGTGCCCAGTGAGGAAATGACCTCTTTCAGTTGATGAACTCCCCCCCTGGATCACCAAGTTGCTAGTGTACAAGGATGAGAACTCTACTGCTAGATTTCAGAATTGGCTCCATCTTTGACAGCAGAGACTCTCCTCCGTATCTGCAGCAGTCCCTCTGCTGCACTCCCACACTATTCATTTGTCTTGCGAGCTTTGGAGAAATTAGAAGCATCAAGGCCTAGTCATACCTCTCCCTCCATCTTATGTGCTGAAGGAAATCCAACCTTGTGCAGGGTACTAGTATGTAGCTCGAAAGACTACACTCTAACTTTGCCTGGCATGGAGAAGTGACAGATGGTTCCACTATAAGATGAGTGTTTTCCCTCTACAAAAAGGAGGATTTTAACCACCCAAGTTTCACCTCCAGCTCAGTGCTCACTTAGTACTCAGCTTCAGGTGGCACAACAAAACTACCTAATGGGATAGTGTTATTCTAAATAGAATAAATATTGCCCCCTCCACAGCATTATGACTATTAGTGATATATCAGCTGAAATATTACATTAATTTTTTATTTAAGCTATTAACAATAGATGCTGCTTTGCTAGCAATTGAGATGGCTACACTTCTATTATTTCCTATTATACAGCAGCAATGTTACTTAGCCTAGTTCTTTTCTAAAACATCTTAAGAATTTCCATTTAGTAGGAAATTTAATAGATACTGACTTGCCCCATGAAACTGAAATTCCAGGTTTTGACCAGCTAATGATTACTAGAATGTTTTCATTAAATTCATTTCTAAATTAAATATTTTATGTCAGTATTTTCCTACCACTCCTGTCATAATTTGGCATCAAACATGCACCGAAACTAAAGAGCAGTTTGGACTACAGCGGTAAGAACTACTGAATTTTCCCTACCTCAGCAGAATATAACCTAACAATGAAAACACCATCCATAAGAAAAAGGACCCTTTTTTTTTTTAATTAGGTCAATTACTGCACTTTAATAACTTCTGGACTTCAAATTAACTTAAGTGTCTGCTTGTGTATGTAAGAGACACAAGATTCCTCCAGAAGAGTGTAATTAGTTGTACAGGCAAGGCGTTTTATGCTTCCATGGGTTATATTAAACATGACTACTTCCCACAGTTATTTTGGTATGACATTAGCTTATCATCAACATTTTAGAAAAATCAAGCCTGCATTTTTATTGTGTGCTCACTATATTTGAATCAGCTGCCATTTCAACATTGCATAAGCTATTTTTTACTAATCCCCCAGAACTGTCTAATCTACAATGATACTAATATTTTTTAAAAAGAAAGAAAAATACCTGTCAGTCATCCTCAAAGACTTCCAAGCATTTCTCCCAGGCAGGTTCATTAAAGAAAACATATTTTTGTTAAAAAAAAGCACATACACTTTAGATCAACGTATGCCCAGAACCAACCTTTAACTTGGTTAAGGTATGCATATCTGCAATGAAATCCAGTACTTCCCCAACATATTGCCTCATGCATTCCATTGCTGCTGTTCCACACTAGAACATAAAATAAATAAGTTTAAGTACCAGGTTTTGAATATGTTCATGTTTTTGTCTTTGTTTCTTGTTCACCAGAACACAATTGGTTGGTCTCAAATTCATTGTTTTATTTTTTTTGTTAAATTGCTTTAATTAGGAATAGGTATTCTTTGATGTTTTTCTTGTCCTGTATCTGATGCCCTCTTATCTGATGATAGTATAAAAAGATAGTCCAGACACTGTAGCTTCTTTGTGAATCATAAAATACTTTTATCTGTGACAGCAATAAAAGATTAACCGATGAAACTTTCAAGAACATCCTTGTCATGTCATCCTGAAATTTACAGTGGTCCAGAATCAAATTCTTAGAAACTTGATGAGAGTTTAACAGCTCAGTTCTTCAAGCAGCTTAGCATTTCTGCAAGTAGAACCAATCAGCTACAATCCCAGAAAACAAAATTCAGTCACAGGCACAGCTGCCCTTATGTTCACAAAACAGTTTAAATGACTGGCTTCAAGTATTATACATGTAAACACCACTAAAATGAATATCACTGAAATGTAAGTGGTTTGTTTTTTTTTTAAGTAACAAGTGTTTCTAGGATATTCCTGAAGCAAAATCATTCAAAATAGAGCATTCTAATGGCAGTTAAGCTAGCGTAATTTTAAAATAGGAGGCAAGGATCATAAAGGATAAATGAGATCCTTCATAAACTGCTCCAGTTCAACCAGAAAGGTGTAAGCACTGAGAAGTGACCTGTGCCAGAGCAAGAATGACCTCGAAGGGAAAACAAAAGGACTCAATGTAGTGCTTGTTGTAGTCCCAAGCATAAATTTGCATAATACTTTTCCTAGAACACAGTGAGAAACGCGAATCTGCATCCTTGGCTAGTAAAAGACATGTCCAAGGTGCACAAAGCAGTCAATGGAACAAAGCTGTCAGATTAAATAAAGGCTTCAAACAGACGAGAGAACCCTTGAGAGAAGCTTTCAGAAGGTAATATGACTGACCCACTACGTATCATATAAACTTCTGTTTACATGTTAACAGTCTAAGGTGAAGATAATACCAGCTGAATTCAAGGGGAACCACAAATGCCTCATTCCTAGAGGACAAGTAAAAGCGATGCTTAACGTTTGAGGCTAAATGATGGAATTATCAAATTAGGTTATCTTTTTGAAGTTGCAAAAAACTACTGTATCTAAAGTCATAGACCCAGGGCAAAACGTTGCAGTAAAGTTTACAGGGGAAAACTACTCTTCTTTGACCTCTATTTAATTACCTACACGTTGAAGCACAGAAGACGATTACCCTGAGTATACAAATGAATAAGATTTAGTTTTGATCACAAAATTATTAAGCCATAATTGAGTTTTAGTGACTGAAATTTGGAAATGTGCTAGCATTCTATTTAAGCAACTGACCTAGACGCTTCTCATTTTTGTATGTTAGTATCAGCCTACACAGTATTGAACTATGCCACCTTCTGGCTTTTCAAATGCTATGCCTGTCAGTTCCCTTGACAGAATAACAAACAGTAAAACAAGGTCACTGGCAGCCCTGTCAGCATATCCTCCATCCAGTTTATGTGGACATGGTTCTAAAATATTGAATAACAGAATTATAAAAGATACTATACGCAGACCTCTGAAAATAATGCTCAGTTGCAAAAGACTTCTGTCCAACCATCTATTCTGTTTCATTCAAGCAGCAGGCAGCCTGATTATGATTTCTGCTGAAATGATCACTTTCCTATCATACCTCGTAACACCAATGTTAGTCTAAGTCTATCTATTTAAAGAAAATATAAATTAAAATATTCTGTTGAGAGGAAAGGTATTATTAAAGTTTGCATTAAAAAAATCACATATATGGGAAAGATCCTATTAGGTCACCCCTAAAGCTGACAGACACACACGTAGGGAAATGAGTTTTCCTCAGCTTGTGAAGCAGACCTGGGCTAACCCTCATCCACCTGTTTGGGTACTCAGTCACAAGCAGCATGGAACAAGTCAAGATCCCCAACTGTGCTACTTCCTCGAACATTCACCAGGTGCATATTCAGCACCTAGGCCATTATGAGTACTGGTAACTGAGCTTCGCTCATCAGCAGGATACAGATGATTGCCTTATACACTACCAGAAAAATACTATTTACTCCCTTCTTTAATTAGATAATCTTCTGTGAGAATGGAGGCAATGGCTTGTAGCCTTCCTCCCTGCTACCATTTTTTGAGGCATTCAGCTGGTCTGTTCCCCACATGTTGTCTTCTTGAGCGCTGGCTCCAGCTACAGTCAGTTATATGACTAAACGCTACCAGTGAAAGTAAGGGAAGCAACATCAAGTTCAGGACTATTCCAACGTTAATAAAAAAGAAGCATCTCAACCTCTGCTTGCAATACCTTGCCCACCAGAAGAGAAATGAAAAGGAAAGAACATTAACATGAAGCAAAAAGAGCTGAGTAAGATACATTTCTAAAAAAACAAAACTAAGAGATGAAGTTTGACTCAGTACTTACTCCAGGCATAGAGGCAATCATCTGTTTATGTAAGATTGTTGACTCAGCTAGTTTTGTTCCAGCATCTGCACAAACAAACTAAGAAGAAATTAAAGACAAGTTATTTTTTAATTATTTTTGGAGGAACCTGAAGACACTAATAAGTTATTCACGACTTTATTAAAATCAGTTCAGATCTCTTCTTGCTTTTATTCACGGTAATTTGCCTTTAGAGCTCTCTTTCTTTACAAACAACATAGTTAACTCACCATTATAAATGAGTTCATTTCAATGAAAAAAAAATCTGACTTTAATGTGCTTAATTAACACATATATGCTGTGCAGGAGAAATTTGAAGAATATTATATAATAAATCATACTTTCTTTATGAGCAAAAATACATATCTTTGCTATTCCCGGCATATATCAAACGTTCCCCTTTCATTACAGAGCAAATCATGATAGAGGATGATAAGGCAGCATGCCATGTTTTTCACCGTGATATTACACACTTTCACTTAAGTTCTACAGTGATTAATTATATGGACAATTCTGAAGTTCAGAATATACTGGTATGGCATGGTATTGCTATGACTTCCGCATAATACAGGCCACTACTACAAAAACACAAGCTGTTTCTGAAAGAAGGTCAGTATCATTCTGTTACAGTAGAATAAATCTAATTGCTTTTCTTGTGCTTTTATTTTCCTTGCTTTTTTTGTTCCTTTTTTGCTTCTTTTTAGTACCTAATCCCTTGACTCAAAACCTCTGATGTCCACATCATTCATACATTAAACCTGCCAATACAGTTATTTAATCATTATAAACTTCAATAATGCATTGGACACCCTGCTTGTTCCTAAAACTTCTTGTCCTAATGCTCTATTTACATTTGAGCAATTTCTGTCTTTGGTTAACAAAATGTAACTTTTAATACCATAGTACCTTCACAAACTGAGACAAATACTGACTACACAATATATTACACAGTTGTCTAATGCAGTACTCTCAACCTCTCAATGACTGACTGCTTTTCTTGAAAATATTTCCAAACATCCTTTACAGACCTAGAATGTACTCTTACACTTCCATGAGCTTTACCTTTCAGTAACAGGTTTAATCTGAATTCAGCCTGCCTACCAAGACTTGGAAACTACTCAGCCTAGTAGTTGAGTAGTTGGAAACTACTCAACCTCTTGACAAAGAGTCTGGTTTTTGTAGTAAATACCAAAAAGACATACCTAAGTTTAGATTAATAATCTAATTAAGTATCCTCAGACATAGGCCTGGCTCCAGCTGACTCTTCTGGTTAGAATTTATTTTATACTAGAATAAGCCAAATGGAAATAAAACAGGACTCTAACTCATTTCAGCTGAGGGATGGCCTGGTGCTCTTCTGTACCACAGCTCTAACAAGTACATAGGAAGCAAAAGAAAGCCTTAGGGTTATGGGCTGTATCAATCCCGTAAAGACAGTTGAGACTTAGCTCAAACAGCAACCATGACTCTCCACTTCTCTTTTAAAAGAAGGGCCACTAATGGACTTAGGCAAATAGATGACAGATTTTCCTCTAATGCACCCTATCTCAGAAAGAGCAATGCTGATGCTGGGTCCACTGGACAATAGATATATTGTTTTCCTGTGTGAAGGATTTCTCAGTCAACCATTTGTGTGCAAATTAGGGTTCCCTTGTACTACATCAGCTGCAAAAAAAAAAACCAACAAAAAAAACCACAACCAAAAAACCACAATTCCCTGAACAAGCTGAATGAGTATATTTAGCATCCGTGAGTTCAGTGCACTGCTACGGACATTGTACAGCACTCACCATATAAGTCAACAAAAAACCCTTGCCAAAGACAAATGTCATTTATTTCAGACATTTTCTTCTAAGAACAATAATAAGAAGCAGCAATCAAAGCAACCTCTACTGGCCTCCTGTAAGTTTTCTACACCTTTTGCACACCTTTTTCAGTTAAATAACAGATATCAATTTATATGTGAAAAATAGCTGACAAACTCCATACTGTTTCTAATGAATAATTAGTCCTTGTTTAGCTTATCTTTCTCATCATCAAACTGCCAATTTCAAGGATCCTTCCTAAAGTTGCAATGCAGTCAAAAGAGAATGGGGAAACCAAAAATCAAAATGAAACATTTCACCCATTTCCAGACCAATTCACCGTCATTTATGTTGCCTCCCCCTACAAATACTATAATACATTAAGACATCACTGGCAAGAGATTTAATGACAGCCATACATAAAGAAAAAAAGGAAAGAAATATACTCCCACACTGCAAAAAGATGAGAAATGGGAAAATAATTGCCATGCCTCTTACTGAGATAAAGCTGCAGAATAATGTCTAAATGGGCATATCTGCTGACTGTATTGCATTATCTATATACCATAAGCTATCTATATTATAACTCCATTCATAAACAGAGTTTTTAAAATATATATTCTTATAAACGTATTATATATAACTTTAAGTCTTTCCACTCAGTAATTAGTAGATCAGATCTTCACAGAAGCATGAAGTGGGACTACTAGATATACGCCGATTTACATTAGCTGAGGGTCCGGCCCAAAATAGGAGTCACTTAAACAGAACAGATCAGATACACTGAACCTTAAAGCCTGACTGAACAAGCAAATCCTAATGTGACACTAATATAATTTGAAGTCAATGGAAATCACAAAGATGTGTGTTGGTGAAATCTGAGCAGGAGAAAAGTACTGGGAAACAAAATGCTGGGTGAAGAAGCAGTTCCTATGGAAACCCATGGAACAGCAGCATGTACATGATGGCTTTTATTTGCTAGGACAAATAGAGGAGACAGACTTTCTGTACCCTTTATCATCCAGGACAACTATGCAATGATTGGGGTGATCTGGTTAAAATTCTCGTTCTATCAAGTGGGATAAAATTAACTCTTATCTTAGCAGTGCTATTACCAGTGATGCTGATGGCACTACGTAATCTGGATGAATGTGGGTGTCAAACGTACATTCCTAGGAATTCCTTTGTTAATCAGCCCACAACTGATCTATCACTAAAGTGCTCCTAGCTCCTTTGTTATCTTGAACATTTTCACTGAATCTCTGTATTCTGTGTGCACTGTCTGTACAGACTCTTGTATACAGGCTAACATGTCCACGGGGATACGACTGTCTTGGAAATTAAAACCATTTCCATTTGGTGCTGTGTTAACCATGCTACAGCTTTACGGATTCAAAACCATACAATCTGAATTAATATTGTAGGGGGTTTGCATGGTACAGAGGTGAACCGATCCCTTCATTCTATTAACGACACCAAAGAAAATTAAAATAATCAGACATATATGTGGTTTTATCAGTAGGTCTCAAACTACAACAGTGCTTAAGATGGGCTTAGTGGTTACTATGGTATTTAAATTCAAGAGGCTGTTGAATGATTCAGACCACATACTACTGAGGGCTGACAATTTGCACAGTCAATGGGAGAAGCAGTCATCATGCCTCCAGTAGGCATCTATGGCAGATGGTCTGAATACAACCCCTATTCTTTACCATTGACTGCATAAAAAAAGAAGCTGGCTGCTTTCGATAGCAGGAAATATGAATCACTTCATCAGCCTCTGAAAGAGAGACATCATAAAAGACATTTATATCCACATTAGGGGCTGTTGTGTAAGGTATGAATACAACCCAACGTGAATGCAGCATATGGGAACAGCACTAGGAGGAAAACCCAGGCAATTATCATTTTATCTTTATGATATAAAGATAATGTAAGAGAGTTTTGCTCACTGCGTCCTTCAGGTGACTGACTCAATGTGAAGGACAAGTGCTTACCAGTTACATCCCATGGCCAAAATTCATGTGGTATGTTTGCATTCTCAAATGAGGAATTCAGGATTAACTAGACTGTGGATTGCCACCCTTCAGGGTAGCCATAGGACTGAGCTACACAATGGAGCAATGCAGAAAAATTGCTTTATTCTGCAATACAGGAAAAGTCAGTTTGAGTCAACAAACATGGATGCACATGGTATCAAGCTGCATCACTGCACCCATAAGACAGAAAAAGGCTGGTGGTTAAGTTATTTGATGGTCTTGGCTGGGACTGAAAAAAGAAGTCTGGTCTTGAGGAAGAAAAAAAAAAAAAAGAAAAAAGCAGCAAGCAAATTCAAATTTCTGCTTTTTAATTTTTTTAATTAAAATAGAGTTAAAAAAATAACCCTTTACCACTGAAAAAAAAAAAAAACAAGCCCCAAGTGTTATTCTTCCCTGCCCCAACTTCTTCCTCGAACACTGATGGCATAATAATTGTTTTCAGAGTTATCCTAACTGCTATATAATTTCACTTGTCAGTATTGCTTCTCTGTCAACTGGCAACCACTTATTTACTATGAGTAATGTACCAGTACTCAAAAGAAAATGAGCCCATAGTAAGCTACATGAAGCTTTGACCCCATAATGGGAGAGGAAAGAATGAATGGAGCTGTGAAACTGGGAGCATTATGAATGATCTACACAGCTAAAATCTTTCTTGAGCCTTGTGGAGTGCTGTTATGCTGGTCCCCAATCATTTAAAGTTATTAAACACATATAATGGTTAGCTCATTGTAAACAATGAGAGCCGACTACCTGTGATTAAAATCGATGGACTTCAGTAAATTGTTTTTGCAGGAGAGGATTGTGGTGCCAAATAGTGCCATACTTGGCATTTTGGAAGCAGAAAGATTTTTCACAAGTTTGTCTTTTACTTTCTTAGATTTTCCTATGATAAAGCTCACTTAACTCCCACCTCAGCAACCCACAGAATGAAAGGAACAGAAACTGTCTATGTACTCTTTGCTGGAAAATTCCATGTTAAAAGAAAATGGCCTTTAAGGACTGAAGACAGCTTACTGCCTGTCTGAATAGACAGAAACTGAGTTCTGGCCCATGATCAGTTAGCACCCCTTCCCACAGGAACTGCTCCCTGGTTTTGGAGTTATGATATGAAGACAAAGCAGCAGCTGGGGCAGCTGCCCTATTGGCACATGGTATGAAGCTCAATGGAATTGATCCTTGTGAGTTCCTTCCAACTCAAGATATATTCTACGATCCTCAATAAATCAGCAGTGATGCACAGGTCATTAAAATCCTGGGAAGTGTGGATTCCCAGTTTAGTTTCTTCAATTTTTGTGGGGGAGTCTAAATGTATGCACCTACGGTTAAAAATGTAACTGGATTTTGATTTTTAAAATTCTTGCTTCCCGACATTTCTGCAACCATGCTGGACTTGCTTCCCCGCCTCCTGCAATCGAATTTCAGCTGAGACAGGATCAATGTAAGAATTACATAAGAACCTCTTGTACCTGCACCAACAGCAGCAGATTCATGTCTGGTAAGGGTGACTTTAATTTGAGTGCCTGCAGTAACTCCAATATGACACTGCGCGTCAAGTAGAATTTGTCCCTTTCCTACAACAGAAAAACACAGAATTATGAATGTACTGAAATTCACTGACACCCACTAGTAAACCATAAAGACACTTTTTATCTAAGTTTGAGAATAAAAAAAGTTACAAAAGTGTCTTACAAAAAACCAGACATCATTCATCATTTATGTAATTCTAGACTTGATTGAACAGACATCAATGAGCACGATTCTCCTTTGATGTTGTATCACGCACTATATCCAAGATTTTAATATTTCACACATGAAATACAGATAGATTGTATAAAACAGTTATAAAACCCAGGCACTCAGTGAAGCTTTCACTAAGTAGTTCCATATAAAGCGGAAAGAAGTAAGGATTGATACAGAACAAAACTGGCAATAGCATTTTGCATTATTCTTCCATTAAACCTGCCAGAAATGGCCTACATTTTGCCATACTTTTTTTTTTTTTTTCCCCTCTGTTGTCATGCTCCTTAAAATAAGGGTGCCTGCACTAAGGCAGCTTGGACAACTATTTTCACTTATCAGACTAGCAGTACTTTTCCACTTACACAATAAAAATCATCTTGGCTATGGCTGCTACAACAAAAACATTTTAAAACACAGAGGAAAATCAGCCAATGGAGATTAGAACACAAAAGCCTAAGAATAGAGTTGTAGAGCTGAGATAGCAAGGATGTACAAGAGATAAGATGAGCCTGTTGTACATCTTTCTTTGACATCCTCTGACTTTAGACAAGATAAAAATGTGGAACTAATCTATATGCTACTGACCAAAGCAACTCAAGAATTTTGATCAGTAGGAAGACTTACACTGAGCTCTCTTTCAAATGACCATCAGAGGTGAAATAATCTTGTCTAATAAAGAGAGCATGTCCAAAGTGTGCTTAACATTTGAAGCCTAGTATCCTCCATCTTGTAGATCTCATGCACTTGCCTACTCATGCAAGTTAAATGTGTGGAACTTTTTACTCAGTCAGGGCCTCAGTTCCTCTGTGACATCTGTAAAATAGGATAATAATGTTTGCCTCTTCCTCAGAGAAGTCTTGTGAGGTTTAGTTAGTGAGGGTCAGTTTGAAGGCCACCTCTAGCTGCACATGGTAGCAAGTGCAGCTAAAAGGGAAGGAGCTGGAAGAGATGAATAATTGGAAATGAGAGGAGCTTTGGTTGCAGCAGACAAAGCCGCCAGTCACCAGCATTCCTTCTCAGAGAGCTGATGTCACCACACTGTATCTGTGTAGCACACTGCCAAACAAAGCTTACAGCAACAGTGCGTGTCTCCCACAGCACCCACATACCTTTTAATGACAACAGATTTTTAAATATCAGCCCGATTTGGGAGAAGGTGACAAAACAAGAGAATGGTATGTCTTTCATGGACATTATGATGCTAGTCTGTGAATCAAGAGACCTTATTTCAAGCTCCTAGTTTGATCTTCAGTTACATGGAGGGTGCAGACAGATAACTCATTTAGCTGATGGAATGGGTCCCAAACTGCAGTGGTCCTTGTCTGACTACATTGCTGTAGTCTAGGCAGCTAAACTCACAGGAAGTTAACAATCCAAAATAAAATTTAAAGAGAAAAAAAAATTTCTCTTAGGGGAGCAGCAAACACTGGATCAGTTCAGCTGTATTAGGAAACTATTACTTGAGGGGACAACTGCTCAAAAGTCACACATCCCACATGCATGAGTGGTGATCCGATAAGAATAGTACAATATAAGAATACCCAGGAGAGGTCAGATCAGAATAAATGTCTTCAGTAACTTAACTCCAACAAGGCAGATGCAAAACCAAGAGTCAAAACAAGGCAAACGTTGTAATTCCCACTACTATTCTGCTAGCCACGAACAATTTTCAGCTCAGATAACTTCTGAGCTCAGTGTGGCTTCTGTATAATTCGTAACTCTCAGTAGATTTCCCTTCCACATGTGCCCATTGTCCTCTTCTATCCATGTCCGCTTTTAGCACCCACAGTACTTGGCAAGGAGTCACACACTGTTGAAGAACCACCTCCTTTACTTGTTTTGACAGTGGTTCCTACAAACTTACTATGTTCTTGTACTGGAAAGGCATGAAATTACCTATCACTGTCTAGGTCACTTGTGACCTTAAAGACCTCTCTACCTTCCCATCAGTTGTTGCTTTTTCAGATTGAAGGAGCCCTCACTTAGTTGCTCTATGTGTGGAAGTCATCCCACTGTTTGATTGCTCTTGTTACCATTACCTGAGCTTTCTCTGATTCTACTATATTCTGACTGGGAATGAACTAGAACGGTGCACAATATTCAAGATACAAATAGATCCCGATTACTTGCTAGAATTCACCAGCAAGAGTGACTGCCTTCACAGTCTTGAGACACATACATAATGCAGTGCCATGCTCAGAGAGTTGACAATTGCATTCCCCACAACACTGGACAGAAGTTCCTATCTAGTACAGAAGCCTGTACATACCGGAAAAGGAGAGATGTAAAATTTTTTCAAAAGCATTCAGCTATTTTACAGACTAACACCTATGCTACACAGGATAGGATTGCTCCATAATAAATTGCTTTGTCTGAACACTGGGAAGGAAGCATAGGCTTCATGAATCCCAGCTTTCCTTGGCTCTAAGGATAATATAGCAGTGAGCTCCCTCTTTCTCAAAGAAGTCTCCTGTCTCAGTCTAAACTCTTAATGTTTCTTAAGCATATGCAAGTGCATAGACACGAAGCAAAATCAAGCAAAATGTTTTTTGACATCTGGCTCTTGCTTCTTGCACTGTAAATCAGGAGTGATGACACTGAAGTCAATAGCCCAGAGCACCCTTCCTATCAAAGTCTACTTATTCCTATCATTCTGCTGATGATAAATATGTATAAACATAGTTTATACATACTTTAAGAGCCTTATTTTCTGCCACAGAGCTGTGAATGGGTATTAGTTCCATGAGAATAATGCCCAGGGGAGTCACATGTGTAAACCTAGTACCAAAGAGTCACGAATATAAGCCCCTTAGCCTCTGTTCAGCCAAATGAATCCTCTTGAATATCTATGAATCCCTATTAAAAAAATGCCTTGCGACCTTCAAACTGTGACTTGCCAGAGGTCTAGTACAGAACGTGAAACTACTGAAGTTTTTTATAGCAGTATCTCAGGGCCCAAGCTTATTACTAAGAAGAGTAAACTTGGTTCTTTAATGCAATGGTGTGCTATCCTTCAGGTAAGCCAGTATAAAGCAAAATTCTTTGTTTTATCTCTGTTGCTACAACAGTAGTTACAATCACTGAAGATTGGACACTTCAATATTCTTTAAAAAAAGAATTCAACAGCAAAAATCACATGGCATTCAGCATTTACTTACAAAGGGTCAACAGAATGCTAGTAAAAGGCTAAGTATATGTCCAAGGTTCTGCAGCTGTAAGAGATAAGAAAGCCAGAAAGTGTCCATTTAGCACCTTAAGATACTTGAAAGGAAAACTAAAGATAAGAAGATTACAATCCACAGAAGAGATGCTGCTCTCAACCCAGAGTTCCAAAGGCACTGAAAAAATCAAATTGCTGACCTGGAACAGAAACTCAGATAAGGAAATATCAGATTGACGTGAATCTTCAGGCTCCAAGTCAAGAGAAATTGAGATGTTCCTGCCACAGGGTATTAGGAAAATGTTGGAGATAAAAAAGATTTTGAATGGTTGTACGGCACTGACCTCTACAAAGTGCATGTCAGAGTGGCTTGGTTTTTGAAAAGACAAGAATCCTCTACAGCTTAGCTGAAAGTTGGTCTTTTGTTCCAGACAGCACAAAGTTGCAAAACAAATAATTAAATCCATATAGTTTCAATGTTCAAAAATCACATTCCTTCTGGAATTGACTTCCACATGGTATTCTATCACAAACACACCCTTACTTGGCTACAGTGATTTCCACTGTAGAGAAACACAGACATCACAGCTGATTTGTTTTTTTCTAACAGCAGTCATTAGTTTGATATTTCTAATGCAAAACCATGGTAAGCTTTCAGAAATAACAAAGATAATGTAGTGTGGAGTTCCACTAAATTAAGCATTTTGTGGCTATAAATTGCAGGAGACCATTCACTAGTGATTCCATTTTGGGTCACCAGGTTGCATTAAGCTAAATTAAGAAGGAGATTTTACCAAGAGCTATAGTCCAAGCTTCCTGTGTGCAATTAAGTACTCAGCGTATTAATAGAACACTGAACCAGGAAGCATGGAAAAAACATAGGGGTCTTTTTAACACCTTGGTTTTAATAAAATTTTTGTGAAATAACTGAAACTGCAGAGCATGAGAGGAGTGAAACATCACATGTGGTAAAAGTACTTCTTTTCTTGTGGTGCAGTTTTTCTGCGAGAGTGTCACTGCTTTTATCATTTTTCCTTCACTGTTTGTCCAGTGGTATTTTAAGTCTTATCAAGACTGAAGCAATGCGTGTTCCAGTTGTACACTAACAATATAGAAAATCATGTAGCTACTTATGAGAGAACGTTTCTTGAGGATTAATTACGATTAATTAATCGAAGACGGAAAACTGTGGCTGAAGCCACATTTTTGCTCAGTACCTTAACAATCTACATAAAGGAACATATAAGGCCTCAGTAAAAGGTTTGATTTGTTTTTGTGGATTTTGTTGTTGTCCAACTTCTCACCAATATCTTGAGTAATAACTGAGTGTTATTTCTGCAGCATAGCTTTCGTTCAGGAATCTTAAAGACTTTTAACGGTGCACACATACTGTTCTCTTTTCTACACAGCTTACAGCCATGTACACCAAAGCGAGATACCTAACACAGAATGAAACACGACCCAAGCTGGGAAGCTCCTAACTTGTGAGTCTTCCACTTTACTTAGCTATCTGTTGCCTCCCCTCACAGCTGTGCTCTCAAAAGGGACTACCAGCAATATTTAAGTTTTTACTGCACAAGGTATGTGGCTAAACTTGTGCACACTAGGAAAGATATGACTGCACAGACATTTTAAGTCATGCATGAATACCAGATATCATCTCTACAAGATAAAAAAATTTCTAAGTCATGAAATCACACCAAAATACTTTTCTAAGCAATGTTTTTGGCAGGTTCCCTTTATCTGTGCCTACACTGTGAATGTGAAACTCAGTATTATTGAAAGGCACTGAACGGTGATCACTTCTTGATTAGCCAAACTACATTAAAATCGTTGTCATCTCTGAAATTTGGCACTGATTTCATCTTTACTTACAAACATATTACTTGAGGGAAGTAGGACTTTGTCTGTCCTGCTTTCCTAAAGGAAGATATAGCCTCATTGTTACCTTGGTGAAAGCTCGGTAGCACAATCCACACAGTTCCACGAGGTAGGCCAGAGTGAAGATGGCATTCTGAATTACAAAGCTTAGTAGTTTTGAAAAAGGCTCCAAAAGACTCTGCAATGACATGATTTAGAGAAATCAGTAACTGCTCAACAAAACAAAAAGCATTCCAACTCTGAAATGCCTGAACAGAATAGAATTACTTTGTGCTCACAGGCTATCTTGCTGGGATTTACACTGTTTCGGTCAAATGGCTACTCTATCTAGCATTTTTGCCTTCATGCTTGTATGAGAAATTAGAAGAAAAAAAATAGAACATACTTTCACCTCTGACACAGTGCTTATGAGGTATAACAGATTCTGTAGTGTTTATGTAAGAAAACCTCACTGACCTCTGTGGAATTGTACTGCAGAACTTCTAAGGAAGCTCACTACTATCTTTTTTTTTTTTTCTCTTTTTTTTTAAAGGGGAAAAAAAAAAAAAGAGGGGAAAAAAAAAAAGATAACATCCAATCTTTAAGAAGATATACATTCACACCCACGCAGGAATGTAATCCCACCCACACTTTACTGTAACCCAGATTCTTCTCATTCTCAAAAGAGTATTGGACTGCACAATTTTATGCTTGCATATAGTACTTTGCTAGGTAGGGGATAAGAACACATTCACAGAATAGCACAGGCTGGATAAATTTGAGGCAACAGAGCTTTGTCTTCTTGGAACTTACCCTGGTGGCACTAGTGGTAGGTATCTTCAACAAGCAAATCATGATTCTTAAACTAGAATCTAAAGAACACTGTGAACATATTTGAAGGCAGGAAAGAAAAAAGAAAACAACAACCAAACAAAAAAAAAAAACAAACAAAAGAACAGAATTAGTACCTTTCCGTGCACATCTTGCTTTTAGTGGTAGCAGCTATGAATAAGTTATAGGCAAAGTCTGAAAATTAACCCTGATGACTGAACTTTACTTATTTTGCCTAAACTGGCTTACCCTTGAACACACAATCATATCCCTTCAGTGGTAACACATCACAGCACGGGCCTTGAGATGAGAAAATTTCACTAAAGTACTAGTTCAGAAAAGTCAACTTTATGCCTTTCAGGACAAAAATTTCCTAGAAATATATTTCCACTGTAATCAAAATGGACTGGGGAAAAAGAAGAAGAGTGGGTTAGCAGGAGGTACACACCATCTACCTCATTTTATATTTGTGCGGTTGCCCGGGGCTATGACATTTTCCCCCACAACCCAAGACAGGGCTGCAGCTCACACCGCATAACAACAGAATCCACCCTGGCAATAGCTGCTCCAGATGCCCCTCTACAGTTGTTCCTTATGGTGTAATTGTTTTTTCTTTTGAATAAATCACAGAGGTTGCACCAGCAAAAGGGACTTTTCAGGATCTATCCATTGTCTTGCCTCAGCTCTGCTGCAAACAACTAGAACAGCAGAGTCATTTATGACCCAGAGGACGGAACAGGAGATGGAAAGTTCAGGAGCAAGTGTTTTACTTGTATCACTAACGATACCTCCCGCGAATAAAATGGAAATCAGAGTATACACTCCATCTAAATGTTGTGTGAATGGCAGATACGCAGTCGGAACTATTAAGATACAATGAATTTCTTTTTATTTATTTCAATTAGACAAGATGCAACAGATTGGGATGGCTGGTACGCAGAGGGAATGGTCATTGCCTGTTTGGCTTAGTAAGTGCTGCAGGATGGTACCTCAATTTACCAAAACCTAGAGAGGTTTCAAGGTCTGACTACTGCATAATAGTGCCAAAGAATTTAATATCATTCACGCAATTTGGTGGTGACACTCAGTTTAAGAGACAATGCTGTAAGTCACAAAGTTAGATTTTGGATCCCTTAGCTCACACCGAGCAACACTGTTTTGCACAGAAGAAATTACCATTGGCCTCATTCACACCATAGGAAATAACGTCAGACTAAGGGAATCAGAATCCTGTGTTTACCAGAAAGACTCAGAAAAGTTTTTACTGTGTTTTCTGAACAAACATCTGGAAATACACACACAAGGAGATAAGATCCCTCTGTATGTCCTCTGAGCACTCAGAAATCAGAGCTCAAAGCTTCCAGATCCCGTTTCTGAAACTATATGCTGATTACAGTCAGAACAACAACCTGGTCAGCCAAACAGGCTAGGCTCAGTTCCCAGTAGTGTCAGTTCTCTCTGCCTGTCTGAATATTGTGTACTTTTAGCAAATTAATTGGGTGGTGCTTCTCTTCTTAACAGTTTTATTTTAACAGTTAAAACCAGATGGATTTTTATTGCCGAAATCTTGATCCTCTCAAATTCAGTATTCTAACTTGACAAAAACAGGGCATGGAAAGTGTAGAGGAAAAAAGCTAACAAAGAGGCGTAGAGTACTCTGGTCAGAGTTGTTATTGTTAGCCATGGAAAACATAATTAAAGGGACGGATCCAACATACAATAAATACAGTCCTCTGGAAACATTAACTGAATCATTAGAAAATATTCACAACCCTCTCAGATTTCTCATCCACAGCTCTGCCACTGTTTTGGTACATCCTGACCAATGGCAGCATAGCTTGTTTCAGATGTCCATATATCATACCTTAAGTGGCAAAACACAAGGGAGTTTAGTAAGGAAGGTCTGAAACTGATTACTAATTGTGGTCCAGAGGTTGCTCGGCGAATCCATCGGCAAGGCTTCCATAAAGGTAGCAATATTTTCCAAACAGCGTAGCATGGCACCCCCTGCTGGCAAATTCTTTTTGTTGTTTAAACCCTGGGAAACAAAATGAGAACTGTAAACAAATGTATACATGCAGAAATGGTTCCTTAAACAGTATTTGGAAATGCTGAGGTTAATTTGTTCAGACCAAATACTACTTATCTTCTCCATAATGCTAATGATGAAATATTATGCAGGGAATTTGAACTGTGTATGTGACAGTTAAGCCTAGTTCAGTTCCTAAAGTATTGACCAAGTTTTTGAGCCAAAATGTTACAAGCAGGGTCCTAACGCACAACCAACTTAGAATGGCAGTAAAAAAATTACCACTTGTAATTCACCAGTGGATTGCCCATGTTTTCCTTCAGATAGTTTTAAACAAGGTATGTTCACTAATTTTCAGTAGATCATGCATGCTTTTTTGGGTTGTCTACTAAGGTCAGGCCTGGAAAGACATAAGCATTTTTAAAGTGATGTCAAAATCTTTGTATGAAGCAACCTCCATGTCCTTGGAAGAGCAGGATACATGCAAGTGACTAGTGCTAGAGGATAGAAGTTACAGTAGAAACAAGCCAAGTGCCCAGAAGGGAGTCAGTGCAAGGCAGGCAACAAACCTTTGGACTACTTCAAGAAACTGCCATCAAATACAGGAGAGAGGGAGAACTGAAACGTATGAGCAGAAATGCTCCTGAAAACCACAATACCAATGTGTAGGACAGCCCCAGGAACTGTCTGAGGAAAAAAACCAACAAACTAATCAAAAACCTATCAGTGAGAGCAAAAGAAAATGCGGAAAGGAAATGGTGAGGACAGCCTAATCCTGCTTCCAGAGAGGACAAAACAAATACTCACATTGCTCTTGGTGACGCAAATCTGATGTCTTAATGAATGAGGCAAAACGAACCAATATGCCTGATAACACTAAGAGAACTAGCACCATTAACAGAGCCAATTGCCAGCATACCTCTAACAGCTGGCTCAGAGCAGCGATGGAACTCAGCTCACTGAAGTCCATAAGAGACGTGGCCAGGGTCCGTAAAAAACTTCCATCTGAAATTCGAATGACATTTTTGCACTGGCTGTCTGTACAGAGGTAAGCTAAAGGGTCAGAAATGCACTAGAGTACTGGACATTACCTTTAATACTGCTCTGGAAGAGCTGAGGGAAGATGCCATTGGGAGCCAGCTGATGGAACACACAACGGAGGAACTGCTTGGCCACACCTGCAGCATTTCCAGGGATCATCATACTGAAATGAAGGGAAGGAAAGGGAAGAAGAAAGAAATTGCATGGCAGATTAAACACTTCTCAAAGGTGACTACATAGAGAAAATATACTGATCACTTCCATAATTAAAAGAATAGGATCATCTCTGAGTGAGACAGTCAAAAGCAGAACTGTCCTGATCTCAAAAAAAACAGTTCAGCATGTTGATTTCATGACTTCAGCTCGACATGCAGAGCTGAAAAAGTTATGTACACATACTGAAAGTATCTAAGTCTTAATAAACAGTTGCAGGTCCCTCCTCTATGAGGACAGGCTGAGACAGTTGGGGTTGTTCAGCCTGGAGAGGAGAAGGCTCCAGGGAGACCTTATAGCGGCCTTCCAGTACTTAAAGGGGGCTGACAGGAAAGGTGGGGAGGGACTCTTTATCAGGGGTGTGGTGATAGGATGAGGGGTATAGGTTTCAAACTGAAAGAGGGGAGATTTGGATGATATATTAGGAAGAAATTCTTCACTGTGAGGGTGGTGAAACACTGGAACAGGTTGCCCAGAGAAGCTGTGGCTGCCCCCTCCCTGGCAGTGTTCAAGGCTGGGTTGGATGGGGCTTTGAGCAACCTGGTCTAGTGGAAGGTGTCCCTGCCCATGGCAAGGGGGGTTGGAACTAGATGATCTTTAAGGTCTCTGCCAACCCAAACCATTCTATGATTTTTCCTGATTCTCCACATAGTTTTATTTGTGAGTCACCTGAGTTTGAAATATAATCCTGCTCTCACCTTGTGTATTTCAGTGACACAGGATGAGGTTCCTGGCTTTACCATAAAATATGAACAACAGGTAAACACACACATTACAATATTAATTTACTTCTTGCAGTTTCCTTCAGGAGATGAAGTACTTCCCAATTACTCATAAAATGAATGGTTTCATTTAAAGAGCTAAATTATTATCTATTTACTCATAAACCGTACATCTTAACATGTTTTACAGCTTCTCAAAATTAATTTATCCTATTCAGCATCTCATTTATGTAATGAGACATCACTACCAGGGGTTGTCCATGGCCAAGGATGATTCACTTGATTGAAAGTATGCAGATAGTTTATCAAGACGAATACAGAACACAGAACAAGCTAGAAAAAGCCGCACTGAAATTGTGGAAACCAGAAGGCATCTTTAAATTATGCCTGAATGTGAGTTTTTTCAAGTTCAATATGTATGAACATGGGCTCCTGTTCATCTTCAGAACACATGAGATTTGAAACAAGTGGGAAAAGTAGAGGTTTTTCCTCTCACTCACAAGCCTTAAATAAATTTTTAAGAAGTTAAATTTAGTTGATTTCAGGGCCAGAGAGGATGATGCTTTAGATTAATTGTTTAATTTTGGCCAGGGTATCCTTTGCTACCATACCTTTCTGCTTGATTAGAAAAACTGGTACTTGATGCCAACCTGGAATAAAAATAATAAAAAAAGTGAAGCTCATATGCTTTTTTTGTGTTTCATTTTTAAATAAGCCAATAAAGTATCTTTTTTTTTAAATAAAACCCAATAATTTTATAGAACATTTAAAATGTCACCAGAAAGGTCTTCTGATGAGCACATAAATTCGGTCAAATCATATACTCTATTCAATCTTGCAGTCTCACAAATACTTAACAGCTCTAAACACAAATCTACTTGCCTCCCTGTACTAGCATAAAGATAATGAAGTAAAAGTATTGCCTTACATGCACATCATGGATAATTACTAACCTAGAGGGATCTGGAGAGAAAAAAAGTTTGCCAGAAGCTGCCCACTGACTGAATTGTTTTTGATTAACACAGCACGTAGACTAAGCCAAAATTCTCTACTTGGCAGTCTGAAGCGAGGCTTCTAGTTCCAGATTTTGGCACCTAAATAACTGGCCTAATTTCAGAAACACCAAGTACCTAAAAGCACTTACAAAGTCAGATGAGAAACACTAGGTTCTCAAAAAATCAGGTCATTTATTTTAGCACCTAAATATAGACTTTAAAGCCAAACATGGGCATTCTGCGATGAAAATACAGAACAAAATCTTAAAGCAAAATCATGCTCATCAACATCCAGAACATGTAAATGAACAGAATCAGGGCTTATAATACAAAAGCATCACGCCTTTAATACTAGAATGCACTAAAAAGCAATTATAAAGATGTACACTGGAAGCCTCTCTGACATACAAAATACCATGCAATTCTTACTTTGGTCTGCTGCGTACCAGTATTTCAGCTGGTATAAGCTGATACATCTAAACAGAAAGTTAATAGAGCTACACTAATTTACATCTGCCAATGATCTGGCCTTCAATGTTTATCTTTGATTCATGATCCTTTTAGGCTGGATTTATCTGTTGCTCAGTGCTCTGTCAGCCTCTAGGCACCACTGCAAAATCCCAAAAGGACCCTAAGGCAGCTCAGTCGAATGCATCAGTGTAAAACAAAATGTATGGTGATTTTCACTAATGATGTATGACAAGCTGGGGACACAGCATACTTTCAACAATGCTAAAAACTCAGGCTGATTATATTCTCTTCAGTTGTCCCAGCATAAATCAGAAAAACTCATTGCAGTCCCTGACTCCACTGTTGTTAAGAGGATTCCACACTAAAATACAACATATTAATTCTGGTGGGCAAAGCTAATTTGGGTTGAAAGCAGGTCTGAAGCTACCTTCAAGCAATAGAGACCTTGATTCTGGAATAACTGTAGCCATCTACTTACATTAAACACATGAGGATTTCTGCAGAATTCAATGAGACTAATCACATGCCCAACGGACATTACACTTACTTTCAAAAATCTACTAAAGCATACAAATAAAACAACATAAAATACTTCTTCTAAAACAAATCAAAGTCCTATGCAAAGTTGTCTCCTTTTGAACGCAATAATGCAAGTGTGGTTTTTACGATAAACAAAACATTTGGTTTCTAACTCTGAAAAAACTTCATGAGACATGAACTACACTAAACACTTGGCGAGATCTAAAACTTCTTGAAATTTACAGCTTGTACATATTTATCATTACTACTCTAAATATTTTGTTGCACCAAGGCCATGAACCCCCATCATTACCTCCACTTTGCAGACCACAAAGCAGAACAGTAAACGGACAGCAGACAGCAAATGGATGTGTTCAAATTTGTACATGTTAAGAACAGAAGCTAAGTTTTCAAAGCTCCTCACTAACTCACAAGCCTAAATGCCATTTTCAAGAAAGGCTTTGATGCTTGAAAAACTAAATGTCACTGGAAATCAATGAAATAAGAATCAACAAGTTTGAAGTGTTGATTCAGGAACTAGAGAATAAAGTTAAGTGCATGTCAGAGTCTTATAAACATGTCAATCTCTAATTGTCAGTAAGTTGAACCCAGAACTTTTCCTCTTCTGAAAATCCCAATAGATGCCTATCTGTACCTGTGGATTCCTAGATAACTTTTGAAAATCTATCTGTGTATTTTCCAGGTATTCTGAAAGACCCTGGATTTCTTAACTCTTTGTTTCCTCTTCTAAGCATGAAAGTATTAGTTCTTTTTCTAAGAATAAAAAAATGCAAGAAGTCTAATTCGTTCTCACCTCTACTGCCAGATGGGTATTTGGAGGCAACGATATGACACTGCTTGATGAAAGACAGTGACTCAGGTTATATACATGAGCCACCTGAATGCCTCTCTGCTTACATATGCTACTTATTTTGCTTGTATTCAAAATGATTCCTTTGTGGGGAGCCTCTTACTGGACTTAGAATTTGTCAGTAATGACAGCCAGTAGGAACAAAACAGGACATTTACTAGGAACACCCCATGTTGCTTGCCATCTGCTACTCTAAAACAATCAGCTGTCTCATGCCAAAGATGCAGCATTTCTTCCTCAAAGCATAGAAAAAGTTAGCCCTCTCAGCCTTCATCCCTTGATAATTTATCTTCCAAATTATTTACTCTCTGTGGCCGTAGTACTGCTGTATTTACAAGAATCACACAGAATGGATAGCATCTGTCTAGACTAGGAACTTTGCCTCCATCAGAGTTCATTAGCAGTGACAGCAGGAAACTGCAACCTTGCAATTAATGGAAATAGAGGACTTGAATAGCTGTTATATTTAAATTAAATTGGGAGGTAGTGGAGAGGCAGGGCTGCATAAAGCCATGTCCCTGCAGAAGTCAGTCATGCAATTTTAACTTCAGTCACTGAAAAGAGCATGGAAAAGGAGAGCTGTGCATCATTTCTGCACTTCTGGTGCTGCTCAGAATTTTATTCTGAAACACCCACGTGCATCCCTCCCACCTCTTAGGCAGGAAGTTGTGGAAGTGCCAAGGCAGCAATGAGAAGTAATGCAATAGTACTGGTGCACTTCAATTATCCCATGTGCACTGGGTAAAAGTCACAAGAGAAAAATAATAGACACCAAATGTTAAGACCTTATCGGAGACATTCTCATGCAGCAGCTGGTTAGGAAGCCCTCATAAGGAGATGAAACTCTTTAGTCTTAATTAGCACACAAAATACAGCTGAAAAGCCTGAACAGCTTCAGGTATGCTAATGAACGATCATACCTAGGAGTCAACAGTCCTCCAGGAGCAACAAAATTCAGATAAGCTGACCACATTTCTGCATAAATTCTAAAGCAAGAACTACATAAAAGTGAAAAATTCTGTCAAAGCAGCAAAAAGGGGTGGCCAAGAGAATTCAGTCTTTAGAAGCTGTTTAAGAACATTACATTGGAAGCACAGGGCCAAGGTACCCCACTTGTTAAGACAGACTTCAAGAAAGCATAAAAGAGCATAAATTCTGACAAATCCATTGTAAAGACCACAAGAAGGCAGGCCAAAAAACAGTTCAAGTAGCAACTAGCAGAAGGAATAAAAAACTAACAGTAAATTTTTCTTCAAATAAAACAGGACTAAGAAGCACACCAGAGAGTATGCAGCATCAACTGCTCTTCAGGTAATGAACAGGGGTCTTAAGGAAGATAAGGGTACTGCAGAAAAACTGAATTAATTCTTTACATCACTGCTTAGAGTGGGACAAGCTGAGGAGATTCCCAAGCTGGAATCTGCCTTTGGAGGGTAAAAGGGGAGGACATCAGAGGAGCTGCCCAGAATTGAAGTGACAGTGGAAGAGGTTACATAAGAAATTGATAAAAAGATGAGAAACAAAGCAGCACAGAGAACCAGATGTTACTCACTTAAGAGTTCTAAAATATATAACTCCATATCATGAAGTTTATGTAAACCCAATGCCAGGCACAAAATTCTTTCAGTCATATGGCAGAAAGTCCTGAATTTACCTTCCTACAGACTGCATGATGTCCAACAGCAGAGGAGCAGCCAAGTCCGGACTAAGGTGAATGAAGGTTGAGAGCACAACTATGGCCAGGCCTAGTGTTTCTTCATCATATTCTTCAAGAATAGCCCCACAGTCATGGCACCTGCAAAGAACAGTTTTAAAACCCAACATTAACAAATTTAAAACAAAGTATTACTACATATACATATGTGTATAATTATGTCTTTTTAAAGTACTATTATTTAGTATATTCTATTCAGAATTTAGAAGGATAATGTAATTGTGATCTTTCTATAATTAGTAACACCCCATGGCTTTCAAACATTACTAAAGCTTCTCACTAGCTACATTGCCTTTTCTTCACCGACAAGTGAAAGAGGGTCACAGGGCAGGCCTTTCACCGCTAATTGTTAGCCAATTCCCTCCTTGTATTGGACCGCTTCAGTTTGCACTGAAAGTGCAAGAGAAACATGCAGCAGAGAAGACTAGCCCTAAGCACTGTGAACATCAGCCAGTTCGTGTGACTTTGGCTCAGGCGAGGGCTCAAGTCCCTGGCACTCCTCTATTTAGCAGCATAGACACAAACAATGACACTCATAGATGATCTTAAAGAGATGGAACAATTTCACATTGTCCTCCCTGACAGTCATGAATTATGAATAACAAATTATACAATTAGGAAACAAAGATCTGATTGGTTCCCACAGCAGTTACAGCTATCACGACAAAAATGAAAGGACCTCTCAGGGGCACAGAACCTTAGATTTCAGAGAAGTCTCCTTTCCCAGGGCAGATTTGCTGCTGAGTCACTTATCCTTCCTGAAATGCTCAAAGACAACTGATGAAGTTCTGAAAGGGCTCCGTAATGTCTAATTATAAAGGGGATGTCAGATTTAGGAGAGATGAGACAGGCTTTCACAACCTACGAAAAAGGCAAACCAATGTGGGAAACTGGCTTATCTCAGCCCAGTAGGGAGGCTTGCTTAATTTGATCAATCAGTTGCTAATGACTCCCACAGATTGTGACATTTTAACTTAATGGAATTGTACAGGCAATTTTCTGGCCTTTGATACTGAACAGAAAAAAAATCATGCCAACAAAGTCATGAAAGTAACACTCAGGTGGTCTGTATGTTAATAGGTGGTGCTAGAGCTTTGGTGAAATGGCCAAGTGCCGTTCCAATGGAAAGGAAGTGCCAAAGATAAGCCTAACTTTTGGGATGCTTCACTTCGTCACACAATAGTGTCCACTTCCAGTCACAGCCTGCAATATGGCCCTGTCTTTCTCCAGTGATCATCCTGGCACGTCTGCCTACTGGACTGACTGCAGGAGCACAAGCAAGCATTTCTGTACACTCTTCCCAATTTTTGGCCAAATCAACGCATGGCTCCCTGCAGACTGCTTTAATTCTCCGTTAAATGAGTACACTTCTGTTTAACACTTCCTTCAGAGACATTTTAACCAATCAATTAAGGTTTGCAAAAGCTTTTGGGATCAGTGAGTATCAGCATTAAAAATGCTATGTTGATTATACATGATTACACACCAACAGTTACCTATTTCAACAGAAACCCAAAGGAATTTAAAAAAAGAGTTGTTTTTGGTTTTTTCCCTAATGTAAAAGCGGTTTCTGATGAACCACAAGGAATCCTTGATTTAAAATAGGATGGAGAGTGCTTCCCCTGCCCTCAGTGCACACACAATAGCCTGAGTCATCATTTTTGCCTGCACAAACTCACACAGGTCCTACTGAATTAAAAGCAATCTGGCTGGCAGTGTTCAGAAAACGTTTAACTTGGGATAAAAAAATTAATTTAAAAACTTAGCATAGAGATAAATGATAGAATGGACTTTATATTTCCACAAAGTATATCTATGCTTTGCTTGACCTATTTGAAGTCAAAACTTCTTTGAAAAGAACAAAAAACATCAACTTACTTGTCAGTCATCACAATGGGCTGGTCATCAGCAAATTCTTCTGGTGCAGGTACAAACATACTGACTATACTGGGTGCTGACAGCAAGCTAGATTTTGTGGCACCTTAAGGCAATTAGGAGGAAGAAATAAAAAATAAAAAAGGAAAGAAAAATCACTAAACAGAAATCCAACCTGCTTGAAGAGTAGACTTCTAAAGAAGAGCCATAATGGTTTTACTGTGCATAGAAGTAAGAAATAAAGTGTATCTACAAAAGGATATATAGCATATTCCTTGCTTCTGCCAGATTGTTCCAATTACCTAGAACTATCAATTAAAAAAACAAAGCCAAAAACAACCTTACAAAAAAATCCTTGGAAAAAGATAACAAAGAACAAAAATTCCAGGAAGTCAGATGTAATTGTCCACTGTTTTTGAAAGAGGATGATTCTACAGTTGCTATGAGACTGGACACCAGAAGATTTGCAGCTTTCCCCTATACTTCTGGGGAATTACCTTCCCGTAGTTCTTGGTGACACGAAGAAGGAAGTAAGTTCTTACATCTCAACACCAGGTCATCAATCTATTCGTAACATCCCTAACGGAGGCATATGAGAGAAAGCAGGAAAGGACTGCTAGAAGAAATATTTCATAAGGAGTTAAGAACCATTAAGAACATTGAAGGACTGATAATTAGAAATGCTTTCTGTTGAAAGCCTTCAGAAGCATCTTCATTCTCCAAAGCTGAGTTGTTCACCTGGGGTCCTAGCCACTGCTATCATGCCAACATATGAGGTTCCCTTTGCCTTTGGCACTTTTTGTGCACTTAATTTCTGATAGATGCTTGTTTTAATAGGAAAAGTTATGTATAATGGAAAATTATCACATATCTTGGCTTCTCTGAATTCCACTTTCTCGAATTACTGCAATACAGGGTAGTCTGACAGTCTAATATCTCTCCAGTACAGTTGTCTTCCTCTCCCGATCCCTTTGTTTTCATTAAGCAGACAATAGCAATTGCAGAAAAAAAAACCAAAACCCACAAACATACAGAAAAGGCAACTCTCCAGCTAGTCTGGTTGCTAAGAAAACCTCAAGAAGAATAATCAGACTCATTCATAAGCCATCAGAAACTAGGATCAAAGCTACTGTGATGTAGAATGAACTACGTCATACATCTGAGATGCCTTGTGATGTTCATTTAAATACTGTTAGCACTTTCATTCTCCAGGTCACTAAGACAGAAAGAGAGATTCAATTCATCTCTTTTGGTTGACACATGTAGCTGACATGATATACAGACAGCTTTATTCCCGTTCCCCACACTGTTAAGCTCCAATAATGAATCCAGGGAGCTCTGCTGGTAGACACCATCATTATGTACACAAGCTGTCCCCAAAGGCATCTCATTCTAAAGACCAATCTATGAAAAGCTCATTTTGTGAACAAATTTGTAGAAGAGTACCAATGCCCTTTTGATGCTTCAACCACAGATTAAGTAATCCATTACTGAATTTCTTGCTGGTTGCTTCAATCTGCAAATTCAGATTCAATGTTAACATTAGCCTTTTCTGATAATATTTAACTATGTAAATAGGAGGAAGCTTCTCCACCTAAGCTAGGTTCAGATGGAATTTCTGATGATATAATCTCAGTTACTGCAGGAAAAGCAAATTTAATATCAGCTCTCAGGCAAAATACTCTAAGAAGATCCAACAATTTCTGAACTCAGTATGTGGAGCAATGAGGGCTTGTTTCACGAGAATAAGACAGGTTTTTAAACAATCATTTTACTAAGTATGGAAGGAAGTATTTCTTCTATATACAGAGTTCAGTGCTTCGTAATTGTCTCCTGAGATTTTGTTGGATATAAGCAGACACTCCAGGAAGTCTTACATTACTGAAGAGTATTCTGGACACCACCCAGAATGCAAGGAATAGGAGTAGATTTTCACATATTTCTAGCCAGCTTTTTTTCCCCCCCTCGCAAATGAATAACGATCCCTCTGCCGTGACTTTGGAAGTTTCACTGTCATGTTCTTTAGATATAAGTCCCATTGCAGCACACAAATGCTAACAGCTGTTATAATGCAGGTTACAATGTTGGAATAAGACTTAAGTAATCAAAAGAAAAATGTCCTCTCTTGAGCGCTGAACAGTAGGAAAAAAACCATGATTTAGGCAAAGAAGGTAGGTCACTGCCCTATTGCAAGGCTGAAAGAAAGTCTGGATGTATTTCGGCTGTGAGGGAGGAGAGTTCATAAAGAAATGAGATTCAACCACACTCTGCATATAAAGTCTTTTATTTCCAGGTTCACAGCCAGAATACGTACTAGCAGAAAGCCAGTACTTCTTATCCCTTCTTGTCCCTGCCTTGAATGTCTTTCTAATAATTTTTCAATAATCTACGTTCTGCAGGACAGTTGAGAGCTTTAATACAGCTGACTGGAACATAAAATTCAGCACCACTTGGTAGTAACCAAAAAAACCTCCCTGGCAGTCAGGTCAAACGGACACTGAACTAACCTCTGATTCTTAGTGGTGGTCCCTCCAAGTCGGGGTTTAGGCAAACAGGGGCATTGCAAAGCCGCTTTCCATGCTGTATCTGCTCTGTAAATAAATACAGAACTTCAGTCTCAAGAACTATGAATCCAGCATCTGTCACCAGCACCTCAAGTCTTAAATAGTTAAAACAAGAGAAAGACAAAATACAACAGCTATTGAAAAAAACCCCAAAGAGTTAATTTTTTAAGCACAGAAAAGCAGGGGGAGGGAGGGGAAGAGAAAGATGAAAGAAGTCCACAAAAGGAACAAGGACAGGTAACCTAATACCAAAGAAGGCATTTTAGAAAAGTGTCATTAAACAAGAAAGGAAGTGCTAGCCATAAAGATTCAACAAGACATGGAATATATGAGTCACAAAAAGAGAAAGACAGTGTTTAGAAATACCAAGAGACTAGAAGTCAGGTATAGTTTCTGCTGACAGAAGCTAGATACAAAATTATTTCATTTTACAGATAGCAAGCTTGGGAAAAGAGTGGTTCGAAACTAGAAATGAAAGAAACACATGCTGCCTACCAATTTAATTTAAAAAACAAACAAACAAACCCGTGCACGAACCAAACACACATCATATACTTATGTGGGATAAGACTATTTCCTAGTTGTTATACCTGAGTATAATCACTCTTAAAATTGTGGTGTGATACTGAAATGATAAAAGTCACACTGAGCATTTGTCCCGAAAAAAAAACACCAATCTGTTTTCTGTCCAAATAATAATTTTACTTTGAAGCTAATGGTTGAAAAAAGACTGAGAGATGTAAAGCTTTCTGGAAAATAACATTTTACTTTGTATCTCCATGCCTGGAGGCGTTTAGCTGGAATGAATGTTGGAGGAAAAAGTCAATAGATGTTATGAAGAAAGCTAGTGGACTTGGAACAAGATTAACAAGACAGAGTTCCTAAGTGGTTTTGAGTACTGACTGGCTCCTCTTACATATAATACACACCAACTACTTCTTGCAGAATGAAAGTAGTCACTTTTTCATCTCTAAACCCCTGCCTGAGAAATGAAGTGACAGCAGCTAAGTCTCTTCAATAAATAAACTTACCTGCTGATAGGACAAAAAACCCCCATTGTTTCCATTGACAAATTCTGAGCTTCGTGATTTAAGGATCTGATGCTGAGCACAGGACTCAGCAGACTGGCATAGAGAGGATAACCCTGAACTATATACCATACTTTTAGCCATTCTTCAGCTACAAGATTTAGTTTGATGGAATTTGGCACTGAAGACTGAATTAAGCAAAAATGTTAACTCAGCTGTTCAGAACTTGTAGCATGCTGAATGAATGTCTCGCTAAGTCCCATATAACAATTTAAACATTCCTTTCTCTGGATGCATCTGACTTGCTGATCAATTCCTAAGAAGCACAATTAGGTGATGGGCAATACAAAACATCAAGATGGGCAATAAAATATCTGGCATTTATGATAAACCAGAATGAATTCTTTGTTTAGTGATACCTGCTATGAATTTCATCATAACAGAAAATGTTATATAGGAGAAAAAAAATAAAACCCAAACACAACACAAATAAAACACTTGAGTAACAAGGAAATTATGTGCTTAATTCAGTTTTCATTGCTTTGTATTTATCTTAAAATGAGAAAAAACAGGTCAGTGAGTGAACAGAAAGTTCAGATGTTCAACATGAGCTGGCAGAAACTTCTTTAAATAGATATAAAACTGGCTGATATAAGGCACAACTCCATGGTGTACCAACACCATTGTAAATATACGTGCAAATAAATGATTCCATGCACCAAGGATGAAATTCTATACCTAATGAAATCAGCAGTGATACTTCAGCGATTTCATTCAATGAGGCCAGTAAATAATCCAAGTAATATGCAAAATTGTAGGGACACCACCAGAGGGATAACCTCCCAAATATGTAACTATTCCAGTTCATACCAGGTAAGAATCTGGTACTCACTATAAAGTTTCAGTTTAGACTTGAGATTGATTACTTATCATCTGTAATGGTAAATTAGAAATACTCTCTTTTTAAATGGATTGATACAAAGAGTAATTGGTTTAGGAAACAGAAATAAAGAACAATAAATGCAGCTCACCAGTATCCCAAGTGCTGATATTGTGGGGAGCACTAGACTGGTGTTCCAGCTGCCTCTTCATTAGCTGGTTCATTGTCAAAGCTCCCAAAGAGCCTCTTTTCATTTGTCTGAACTGAGCTGCAAGTCAGAAATGCAAAAGGATTTCAGGGGTTCAGACAACATGTAAAACTACTCTTATTTCCTCATCTTACAAGCCAGTATGAGATAAATACTGAAAGGGCAACGACTGCTTGCTCTAAGGATCTTGCTCAAGTCAATACGCACTTTTGACACAACTACACAGGGTACAATTCTGGCCTCAGTGACATCTCATCCACTGTGTCAACTGTCAATGCCTTTTTGTCTCCAAAAATCATGAAAGCTCTTCAAAACACTTGGTATCTGTGAAGTGTAAGATACCACCCCAAAATTCCCATCATAAATGTATGCTTGACCCTCACTCACATAGAATGTGCCAAAGAAGGTAACTTGATCTCATCCCAGCACAGTGTGGAGGACTGCCCTGTCCATGCTCACCATAGGAAAACAAATTCACTGACTCTGTACCACCAGCACCGCTCATGAGTGACACAATCTGAACAGGCCTCCTAAATACCCACCACTCAGGCATAACACCTGCACATTCTTCTGAAGTGTGAAGCCAGCACGCCTTTGAAGATGGGTCACTTTTCTAACTACACTGCCGTTCTTCTTACATGGAGCTATCAAGCAACAAGCATTCAATTTTTCCCTATCCATCAATTTACAAATCTTCTTTAAATGGATATTATTGTTTGCTTTAAAAGATGTGTCTCACTGGGTAATGTCCCCATGTACACACACACAAAAACACAACTTAAAAGTTGTGGATTTAAAATTTAAGACCTTTTTGGTCACGTATTTTCTCAGTGCTTAAACGGAAGCAGAAACAGATTATATACAACTCCTGACTTTCTTAATTTTTTTCCTTGATTCATAAGAAAATTGAACAGGCAAAATACATTCACTTTGGTAATTGAGTCTGTACAATATATTTCCACCACTGAAACAAAAATCATTGTTCACAGTATGAAGACACAGTTTTAAGGCCCTGCTTGAACGAGGCATGTGAGACTGCCAACAGGTATCTCCACGTGAGAAAGCTCTTAAAATGTTGCCTTAAGTATATGTTTAAATGCTCTCCTCATGAGTGCCTTAAGGCAAGGGCAACAAAGCAGAATCTTCTCCTAATGATTATTTTCATCTGCAATTACATTCAACATCGTTAAAAAGGGTACTAACATAATATCAGGAAGTTCCATTCTAAAATTCCAAACAGTACACAGCTAAGCTCTGAAAATAAACCCAGCATTTCAGATTATTAACTGTGATGAAGAAGTACAGACAAGGGAGAAACTGCAACTTTCAGAAAGCTCTGAGAGGCTGAGTGCCTTCTCCTGAACTTGCTCTACTCAGTTTCTATCTGAGTGTTTCAAATTCAGAGAAGGCAGAGTACTCCCTAACAAAACGAGTACAGGCTCCAAGTAATAATAAACAAAATGATAATGTCAGTGGGAATCTGCACACTAAAATTATTTTATTAAGTGAAGTATCTTGAGTCTTCTCTCATTATATCCTTTCAATGTATCAGAGAGCATTTTAACTCTATTTTCAGTCCAAGTACAAACTTTTCCAGCATTGCTGCAGAGCAGTCCTTGTATAACTGAACTTCTGGAACTGAACCAGACCAAGAGACTACTCCATGTCTCACTTCTTTTGAAAGTTATATTGCAGCTGCCTTTCACAGCAAATTAGGAGAAAAATAGAATTTCCATCGTTTCCAGGGCAAGGATTTTAAATAGATGCTTTATCACTTTATCAAGCATAGAATTTCCTGATGAAAGAACAGCAATTAACATTAGAACTGACAAGACTGCTTGGAGTGCAGATGACTGTCAAAATATAGAAAATTATCTCTGAATTTTCTTAACAGCTTTTGCAATTGTAATTAAAAAAATTTCATGCATATTTCACATAATCAGGGTATTGTTAAGCAGGTTTGATTTCTAAGGTTATTTACCTGATTTCTCAAGGGCAGCCATGATTTCAAATACTGATAAGTTAAGAAGAAAATTTAAAAACAAAACAAAACAAAAAACCCAGAGAGCTGCCAGCCTTTCAACAGTGTTGGATACAGGCTGATGGCTGTGGACCAGCACATGACTTTTCATGCCTATGACTGACTAGTGGCACAGGGAGGGAAGTTTTCCTCCATCAGATTTTCCACAAGAAAGCTAACAATCATGAGAAGACCAGTAACTTTCATATAGTAGCTGGTGAGCCTTCCATATGTTCGCTAGTGATCTGGTCAATGATCCCTCCATTGCTCTGGAATTCTCTACTCCAGAAGACAAGTCCAAAGGCAAAATCTTCCTATCACAGCTAACAATGCATGCTTTCTGTGGCCAGGCACAGGCTGTACAAGTAATGTTATCTATTTGCGTTACAGACGTGCCTTGTTCTCACAGTCCTGATCAGGACTTATTATGTCCTATAAAGACACATCATAGAAGGTCAAAATTATTTCAGTCTAAATGGACAGGAGACACAAAGGAAGCATTCAAGTCCCTTTTCGCAGTTGGAAACTGAGGCACGCCAAAAGAGGAAAGGAATACTCACAAAGTAATGTAGGCTCAATATCATGTAGATGCTATTCCCGATTTCATACTGGAATTTACTGGAACACCTAGCACTCAGTAAATCCAGAGAGAGATAGGTCTTAACTGGCACCTCTTCAGCTGCTTTAGTAAGTGAGATCTGTACCATTAGGTGGCCAACAAATGCACTCTGACTACAAAATGCACACAACATGAGACACTTGTGGTAAAAGTGGAGAGGAAACGTCTAATTTGGAGTACTCATCGTGTTTCTAAAACAACATCTTCCTTTAATAGGCCAGACATACTTCAGATGCTGAATTTCAGAAATTAAAATTTAACTTTTCTACAGCAATATGGAATTGCAGTTCAGCAAGATGGTTGAGCTGATCTAGCAGGTCACTAGTATCAAAGCAGGTCATCATTTCCTCTCCCTTTTCTACTAGTCAGAATTCTGCCCCATCAACCTTTGGATTTGTTTCTTAACATTACCTAGATGGACATGCCATTCTGGATTTTGTCAGTGTTCTAAGATGTCAGTTACGTTGGAAGGTGAAGGCATCTGCTCTGTTAAGCCATGTGTCAATGTTTACTTAAACCAGCCCAGTTCACTTTCCACTGAAATGGGTAGGGGAGCCTCAGGTAAATAGTTACGCATTTCAGCGAGCAGCTGAGGAAGTGGCAGTTCAAGGTATTTTACAAAAATTGAAAGAGACTTCTTTCCTAAGGTACAGCAAGAAATGTACTGAAGACCACAGTAACCACCCTATGGAGCTCTCATCCTTTGCTTCTGTGTACTGACAGCCAACAATGCTTTCTCTCACTGGAAAATAAACATCCAGCTTTAGTGAAATACTGCTTTTAGCTGCTATCTACTCTAATACAAGAAAACCACATTTGCCAAATTCACCACGTCACAACAGAAAATCTTGCAGCCACCAACTGCTAAAATCCTGCTGATCATCAGAGGTTTAACAGATCTAATGATACCCAACACAGCTGTACTTCCAAGAATCAATGAAATTCAGGGGAAGGCATGTACCATACATGATATCACAAACACAGCAACTTAAGATTTAATCCTTAAACCAGACAAACTTACTTGATATGGAAGAGTGACTACTTGTCTCCGGGACACCTGCTTCAAGGGTCGGTGCAGATGATGACTCTCTTGGCATATCCAGTGTTGAAAGTCCTTTGGCAGCAGGATCTGCATGTAAAAATTGTGCTGAAACTCTCAGTATTTAGAGTCAATAAATATTTTCCATCCACTTTCTCCCTGGATGCCTTTTTAACATCTTTGCAGTAATCCATTCACCATCTGGCACTCCCAGCAGTTTTAAAAGGATTCAGTGTGTGTGTCCTAAGAATTTTTATAGAGGCACAGGAATCTACTGCTTAAAATCACTTTTTAAAGGAGATTTCTACCTACGCTTTTTAGAGCTCAGAACTAATAAATGCACATAGAGTTTGATTTTGATCCCACTCACAGAGTGATTATCAGAACCACCAACATGGAAATAAGAGAGGTACCACTGATGTAAAGCTAGTTTAAGTGACAGCTTAGCATCTTTTAAAAGCCTTATCTCCAACATGTAATTGGTTTTCCTTCAAAAGGCTGCTGATGTAGCAGTTGATCCTAAAGATTAAAAGAGTTTAAGATTCTATCATTAAAAAGAAAAATAAGCCATTAAAACTAAATGTTTTTATGATAACTGATACTGTCAATATGCGAAGAATAAAACGAAATTTTCGAGTGTTGATGGCTAGTTTCAGCATATCCTATAAAAAGGACTACATATCTGTGCTGTAAAAAATCTCAGGCAGTAAACTCCGTAGCCCAGCACCATGCACTGGAACAACAAACCCATCTGGGTATTTAATTCAGAAATCAGTTATATCAGAAGCCCTTCTAAAACATATGAAGCACAATAAGCTAAAAAAGCTTGACTAAGACTTTGAAATTATAACCAGCCCATTATGATGGTGATGTTAATCCTACTTAAATGAATTACAACACACATGTTCGCAAATAAACTAATCAATAAGGCTACACAAAGCAAAACAGAACATAAGAGATACACTAAACAACCCAAGTCACTAAATCACCTAGTTATCTGAATTGCCTGTATCAGCCTGCAATGTAAGTGAGCTCTTAAGGAGTCACTGTGAACGTTTTATGCTCCCCTTGGATGACATACTCGCAGGCATGCAGCCAAATGACCATCATACTGGGACAGCCCTTCCAAGCAGTTTCAAGGATGATAGCGTTAGTTACTACATGAAAACTGGCCCTTACTAATGCTCAAAAACCCATTTGAGTCTAATTGCACAACTGCTTCATGACCATTCTTCTCTAAGAACATCTGTGAAAAGTTCAAAACACGCAGCTCTCTTGTTTTTACAAAGCTCCAGTGGTTCTCCATCTTACTGGAACCATAAATGGGACAACAGGTCTAAAACATAAAGGGAACAGCATAAATACAATCACACTGAATGATTTCTTCTTGTAAAAGTGGAATATCATAATAGGAAATGATACTATGGTTCCCTCTGAAGCAATTAAGAAAGAAGTGAGGTCAGGAGGTCACTTCACTGGCACCAAAGAACTGAGGCCTAAAGGATTCTCTCCTTTTTTAATTATGTTAAAAATGTTTAATTATGTCAAATATATTAAAAAAACACTGGTAAAATTCTAATAACTGAAAAATCCTGAAAAACAACAGCCACAGCAGCGAAGAGGCAGCAGCATACAGTTTTTAAAACTGTTTGACATGTCCAATTGGAAACTGAGGAAACAGCTAAAACACACTTTCTTTCCATCCAAAATACTTAGCAACAAAATCCTGTAATCAAATGACCTGAAAAACTTGGGATACACAGAAATACTGTACGACTTTCCCCATGCTTGAACTTTAACAAACACCATATAAACTTTGTGGATACCCAATACAAAGAGGACTACAAAAAGCTTTTAGTGTCTAAATCAAAACCTGTGTACATGTCTGATCCTAAATGCAAACGGTGGTTAATTCCAAGTGCTCGTATTTCTGAAGTCTACAGTCTGCTCAACTTTACACTTCGTGACCCAGACTGCTTTCCACTGCCTTATGCTTGTAGAAGAAATAAAGGCCAAAAATCACTGCACACAAACGAGAATCAGTGTAGCTGAATCAGTGGACTAGATCAGCAGGATAACAGGCACAGAAGTACCACAATTTTTCTGACTCCCTGCATAAAGAGGCCATGTATCAGAACGAAAATTTTTGTCACTGAGCTCCACTTCATTTCAAATGGGCCCTCACACATGCACCATACCTGTATGGTTAGTACACTTCTTGTGACAAGCACACACCTGAAAGCATTCAGCTAGCTCAGGCCACATCAGATGCTATATGCACATCTCTTCTTACACTGCTCTGTTACTAAAACCTTCACACAGTAATAAGCCTTTTGATTGGGTCAGTGATTGAGCTCACCTGCCTCCTTCTGCTCTCCCAGCTTGTCAAGGATGTTAAAGGAAATGTCCAGGTATTCCCTCTGAATAGCACTCACAGCAATCTTCCTCTGCTTCCTCTGGCGAGGAACAATCTGAATCTTAAATTCTGACTCCTCGGTCTCCTCTTCTTGTTTCTGCTCCGTGTTTTGTTCAGGGTCAGACTCTGTGTTGGTATCAAGTCTATCACTTTCTGTTTGGTTTTCAGAATCTTCGGGGACTTTAATAAGGACTGTCTTTACATTTGGGCTCGGAATTGCTCCACTAGGTCTAATTTCCTCCACACTGAGCTCAGAGTTATCATCAACAGACAGTTCAGGAAGGGCAAATGACTTCTGCAGCAGGTCCCTTTTCTGTTTCAGTGTTAGTGTGTTCCCACTGGACATGTCCTGAAGTTCTTCTGGATTAACTATCTCTGAAGAGCCCTT